AATTCATAAGCTTTCTTTTAGTACAAGAATCATTCAAATCACTCGTGTACTTTAAGTATTATGCATGCCATGCAAATTCTCTACCGCGCTGCATGCAGCGCACGGGTGTTCGATAGTTCGACCCTTATGTTAAACGGAAATGAACTTCCGTAGATGTGACCCAAACCGCACATCAGTGATCACTGATCTGAAGAGAAGGCGAACAACGGAAACCTAATATCGTGGTGGCAACATAATCATCCGCAGAATGCCGGAGATGAAACAAAAAACCGTGTATTCTAAACAGTAACAGGTTATTTATTGGTGGATTAAGTGGATGGTTAAATCCATTTGTTGCGCTACCATCTGTGAGGGTTAATTGGGCTGGACAGCACAGCAAGAGGTAACCGAATAAGTTCAAAACAAAAGTAATGAATAGTAATTTGAGGCCAAGTCGTGAGGACTGCCAAGTTGTCGTGCGCTTTAGCCGAGTGAGCAAGGCTAGATCGTTACCCATCGTGCAAAAACAAGTGTTCTATTAGTCTGGTTCCCAGACCTGATAATTTCCGACGCTCACGTCTAAATTGTAGGTCAGGCCAACCTCGTCCCCAGTGCTCACTTTATTTCCAACCTTGTTTTCAATAGTAAGCCCTGGATAGGAAACTTTCTTCCTGTATCCTGATTCGATACCGCAATTGGCTAGTAATGGATTTTTATCGTGTACTTGGTACTATTATTCACAACGTGCAGTACGTTTTTCGCGATCATTCGTCACGCCTTCTCGAAAATACTAACTTCCTTTCCAATTAATATAGTTAATATATTGATGTGAAATATGATACTGCATGTGTTGTCTCGATAAGACCGTAACAGTTTAATTTTAAAAATCGTGTTTTCGTAACTCACGCCGTGCTTGCGCTGCGACGAATTGACTCTGTTTTTACCCCAGACACCGCATACAAAAACAAACACTTATGTAACGCATATCGAGGAACCAGACTATTCCTCATTTGCGTACGTGTTCAAAAATCTTGCAAATGCAAATAATCCAATACCAGGGTGAGAGAGCAGGTAGTGATGGGCGCGTACTTTTCGACACCCTAGGAACGAGGTTGAGGTCAGGCAGCCTCCGTGGCTAAAAATAAACATGACGACATTGACGGCCCTTTTTAAAAACTTGGCTTCGTTTCCGATTTCGCTTTATTACATAACTTTTTTGTTCCTATCATTTAAAAAAAAAAATCACTTGCTTCATAATGTCATACAGTCATGTTAATACAATATGATATTTCTGTAAGAAAACATTGACTAATGTTGACCTGGAAGTCTTCAAGGTTAGGCACCCAAATAGCACTGTTAGCAGGCGGAGCCGAAAGAAGACCCGCCGAGTTTTGGAAAATGCCGGTGTAGGTCGTCAGATTTAAAAAAGTATACATGACGCAGCAAAAAGTTCGCCGCTCGTAAACGATCCGAGTACAAAATTGTCGTTGAATTTCAAGTTTCTTAATAAAGCAATGAATATTAATTATCAACTCGTATTTTTTAAGTTTTTAATAAGCAATTAGAAGTTAATTAAACCTAAATTTTACTCGGAAATACTCAGCCGCTATCCGATTGTCGGCGAAATGAATTCGGCAAACTTCGGACATTTTTGGAAAAAGAGGAATGCCTCCCGTTTTAGTCACTTGACGTAAATTGTAATACAATGTATGACCTAAGGCTACCTGACCTAAGATTAATCAGGAACAGCCATATCTTTTGGTCTGGGAACCACACTAGTGTTCGGTTGCACAAATTTGTTAGGCACCATCGATAATGGTAGGCTTGCAGGATACGTATGCGGGTCGGAATTTGTTTATTTATTTATTTATTTATTTACTGATTAGATGATTTCTCAAGCAAAATATATAAATATATGAAAGTTTAAAATTCAATTACATAAAAATTACAAGACACGACAAAGAAGATGAAAAGGACAAACTACAAAAGGTTAAGAAACAAGAACCTGTCGAACAGAAACATTAAACAACATTCAACACTAAATTGTACCACATGCAGGCCTGAGGGATTGCCTAAAAAGCTATTTAAAAAGCCTATCGAGAGGCCCTCCAACTACAACATTTTGTGCATCAGACACAAAAACAAACTAAACAAAGGATGACAAACAGACTAAGAGACAGGCACAAACACACAGAAAATAACAAATTAGCAAGAGTAACATAATAAAAGCTAGATAAGACACAAACAAGACTTCCCTCGTATGTGATCGTGACCATAATCTACCCGTGAAAGGCCTATACAGCAGTTCAAGTGTATAAGTCAAGGAGACTCTGCTTATTACAACGAAGGGGGGGGGGGGGGGCTGGAGCTTGGAGGTGTGACACGTAATCCCCCCCCCCCCAACACACACAAGTGTGTAAACGCCTTCAAACGTGCTCCCTGTATTGTCCCTCTTGTGTTTTTACTTTTTAGGAAGACCTTCCATATGTTTTGGTCACGATCGTCAATCATGGCCCTTCGGCCAATCGTGGTGTCCTCTATTGTTCACTTGAACGTCCACAATTTGATTGTGTACATAAGTACACAAACACGAATAGTTTTCTCAGTCGGGATTTTGAGACACAGTTGGAATATGAACCAACACAACCGTCGCAAGAGGAGGGGTGCAGGGATGTCATTATCCCATTCATCGTGTTTTTTTTTCGGCAAAATCATGTCTTTTGCCAAATATGCCGCATCGCAGTGCGCCACTTATATTGTCCGAAAGTGTCCAAGATGGTCGGTTTCACACAGCGCCTCCAATAGTCAGATGGTGTCCAGCTATTTTCCTAGCCATCTTCCATCGCGGAGTGTCTGTCGGCAGATTCGTTTTCACCCCTCCCCCTCTCTCCAGTGGCGTAGCCACGGGAGGGGGGGGGGGGTTGGCGACAGCCCCCCATGAAACCTTGTTGCCCCCCAGTCGCCCCAAATTATCATTGATCTACATGACGCCCCAAATGAAATGTTCCAGCCCTCCCCCCTCTGAAAAATTCCTGGCTACGCCACTGCCTCTCTCCAATCAGTTTCACTCGCCCCTTGCTAATGACCCCGTTTATGTTGCTTAGTTAAACAATTTTACGTAGTTTCTTCTCGCTTCATAAAAAACAGTCTTGGTGTTTAAAAACAACCTTAAGTTTTATTTTCTCTGCAGGATGTTTGCATTTATTCCAGTGTTCACATGTGTTGCTCCTTTTAACATTCGCATAAAAATGTTTCGCTAAAACCGTAGCACAGTGGATTGGGTCGATGATCTAGCTTTGGCGTAACGTATTCATACATTTATTTGCAATTTCCACACATTGATGATACAGATTGTTTATTTATATATTCATAATTCTTTTACCAAAATTAAATAATACATAGGTGGCTGTCACGCATGGCCCTTCTTAAGCACGTCTTTGTGACACCGTAGCAGAGAGGAATCTAAGTTACAGCGCTGCCAATAATCGTTGTCAAGTTCAAGCTGCTTAGTTAATTTATCGGGGGATTCACAATGCAGTACGCCACCAAGAGTTTGCCAAGGAGAGTTCATTTTTCCCAGTGCATTAATTGTGGAAGATAGTAGACAAATTCGCAGCGCGGGAAATTTGAAATTGTAAGTTTTTCCGGTTAGTAGTTTCGCAAAAGTATGATTCAAGTATCTTTTCGCCCTTTTCTTTTTATCAATATGGTGTGTCGGCAGAACGAAATGCCCCAATCTATAACACATGCTAAATGCCCCGCCCATTGAACGTCGTTGCTGAGTAAAGGGCGCCCTCTCTCGTTGGCGCACGGAGCTTATATGTTTGAAGAAATACGGTTTGAAAAAGTCGCCTTGCATGCTACTTAAAGGGCACTGCGTCCTGAAATCCACGAAATGTTCATTTTTTGGTTTGTTCACTTTATTTCAAACATCTGATTGAAGGACACGAACCTAAAGTCTTACCGTTCCCGAGAAAAGACGAAAAAAAACCCCGTTTGTTTACATAGGACACGACGGAGTACGCATACTTTTTTCCTGTCGTTTCGGTCAATGTACGATGCACGTTGTGTATGTCACATAAAATTACACACAGCACCAATGCACACATTTGGTTTCTTAAATGTCCGCAAAATAGCGAATAGCGAATAACAATCTAACAAATGTTCTTTCCGATTAACATCATTCGTTCAAAGCGCGTTTTGTAGCCCAATTGTGCTCATTCCAGAACGCAGTTCCCTTTACACAAGTTCCCAGTTTCCTAGGTCAAACTTTGTTTAAAAAAAGCTAGTTGAAAGTCCTGTTTTGAATGGACTTTTCCAGTTGGCAGAGTAATTCCCGCTTCAAAAGAGGGCAATCGACAACCCCGAAGTTCTTTGTGTACAAATATGGCTTGCTGCGTGCGCACTATTGTCGTCTGCATACGCCATGAATATAGGGGTGCAGACAAGTAGGCACGAGTACCTTTCCCGGCATAGCCACGATGATAAATACCCTACAATAAAATCGGGAGAAAATACTCAGATTTCACAAACGTGATCAAATTAGACATTCAATTGAGCCTTAATTTAACCTCTTTTACTGTATGGTCAACGATGACTTTTAGCTATTTGTTTCTCTCCAAAGATTTCCAACTCTTACCGTCCGTATAAGCCCATATCTCGTCAAAGCGCAAAGGGCACAAGTGTGTAGTACGCGCCATCCACCCTGAAACCACACCATCGATTCATCCACTACTAACATTGAATAACAGAGCAACTTTGCGTTCTAATGTCATTCATAATCCTACAGTATATACCTACATAGATTTGTGGATAAGTGGATTTGCACCAAATCCATAGATCCGCCCCCCCCCCCCCATTCTCTCCCCATCTCTTAATACTCTCCATCCACCGTTGTTGTTCAGTACAACAAAGGAGCATTTTAGCCCTCAACGGGGTAGCGTGGCAATCTATTGTACTTCTGTATTTGACCTCAGCTCGTCCCCAGATTGTATTCATAGGGTTTTTCTCCCTGGGGCGATGTAAAGCTACAATGCAATCTCTGCCGTTGCCTTGGCGCACCAATCTTCATACGACAGAGATAATAGTGCCGGTTTGTTATTTTTTTTTCTTCTGCAAAAGTAATGCCTGATATTTAGATAATTATCATCCGGTTGACATTGGCCAATTGATACAGTTTAATCGATACAATGTTAGAAGTACAAACTTTTGCTGAGCCACTTTGCTGACGTCATGTAATATCCATACGCGTCGTAATTAGCCACGGCTTATGCCCCTGCAGGCTTCAGGTTTTAGACACAGAGAGGTGAGTCTGGCTTTCTCCACAATTAGCACCATTTTATTAGTTAAAGCCGTGGTTGTGAACTTTTAAATCAACGCCTCTAGAGTTGCTGATCGAACCTTTTTGTTCAATTGAGGATTAACTTCGTTATTTTGGACGCGTTTTAGTACATAAACTCGTTGAGAGATCTGTGCATAATGCTGCGTACGAAGTTCATGGTAGCTAGCTCGACGGCTATTTATCTGCACCTTCGTAAACTCAACGGCTGTTTCTCGTTCTGTTATTAATTTGATGGACTCTAAAGAATTAAAAGCGGCGTGTATTTTTAAAGCGCCTACGGTTAAATCACAATGCGCTTTTGTACTCCAAACTTAAAAATTTGCTGTTCTGCTATAAAATTAGTCATGCACGGTTGTCAATATTAATGTTTAACTAGTGTTCCAGTACTAAATAATGCTTCATATGAAAACTTGTCATATATATTCTAATTGGATTTGAATGTGTAATGAGCATCAACGAGTTTATCATTGTATTCAAACATTGAAGGACTTTAAGAATTCTATCAGGACCGGAATTGGCACAGTGCTTTTGTCCTGCTAAACATTGTGCAATGTGTTTAATTTATCAAGAGGTCAGTATCGCATCACACATATCTGTGGGATGTCCGTGGTTGTTATTAGTTTTAATGTAATATATCATGGCGAAAGCCATGGTCTGTAGATTGCAAAAATCTGCATGCTTTGACGCATCTAGCCTTTAGTCAAGTCCCACGCGCTTACTCGGACACGTGACGCACTCCGGATGCTGACACGTAAAAAGACTAGAACGAGCGGCGAAGCCTCGAGGGCCTTTACCATCTCGTGGAGAACGCTTGTGTTTTTCTTTACATTTGTCAACCACTTTGGTAGACATGCATAATGCATTACCCGTTGTGAATTAACCAATGGAAATGCACAATTACTAACGTAAATCGGCCGTCGTCTGGCCCCAGACAGCATGGCGCGCGTGCTGTTGCTGGTAGCCCCAAACCACCGTTAGATGATTAGTTTATATTGCTTGATTTATATTACGTGAATAAATGAATAAGTGATTAGTTCCACGAGATAGTAAAGGCCCTCGCAGCTTCGCCGCTCGTGCTAGTCTTTTTACGTGCCAGCATCCGGGGTGCGTTACGTGTCCGGATGGTCCTGGTATAGGCGCGTGGGACTTGACTAAAGGCTATGACGCATCAGACTTTACAGCAGACTTGGCTCCGTGGATAACGGTGATACTCGGACAAGGTTGTCACGGGAACAGATTGTCGAGAAAAACAATTCAAAACACGTTTCATTTCCCAAACCAACAAAGCATTAACTTAGGACGAAAAATCGTGGTCAATTGGTCAACTACATAATGAAGTTAAACCTCAACTTTTCCCATTTTTTTTGGCGATTTCTGTTGGAAATAACTCATCCAGTTTCGGGTCAAAATCATTACAAATTATGATTTTTCCCTCTAGAAAGTTGCTTAATTGCTTGAACATTGCCTCACTGAATGTTTCTACCGAATTGAAAAATGCATTTGAATGAAAAGAAAGTAACAATTTGGCCAAAGACACTGTTGTATATCAAAATTGGTAAAATATAGCAAAACGCCCTCTCGTGATGGGGGGTGAAACCAAATGCCGTCATATTTAGAATAAAGACGGAAACATAATTGGCTGTGGGGGCATTAATGTGGCCCACATCCTAACAAGACCCAAAATACCCCTGTCCATCAATGTCTTCTTAATATCAATTTCAACATAACATTAGCATTATTCTCATGTATTATTATTAAGTCAAGTTATAATTTCTACTCAGTGCATCCATTTATTCCTGCGTTGGTTCAACTAATTTGAATAGGGTATGGTTGATCCAGCATTTTTTTCCTATTTGAAATTCAGATTGCATTTTGGAATACTCCGTTCATGAATTATGACTCATTAGAAGGCTATTAGTATGTGTACCATGTTAATGTAAACAAAAATATGCTAGTCTCATATACACCATGACAATATTTATTTTCTCATAGCTCACTCACACCACACTGTCTCCGGAGGTCTACATCACGACTGTGGAAGTCCGTAACCGGTAAGTTTACTTTGTCGAGGCGTTTTCTGCGTCCAGAAGGTTAATACTAAAATATGAACATGTACTGTGAGAGTCAGGCGACATTGACATACTGCCCGACACTGACGTACACTTCTTTTACCAATACACCTGCAGAAGGGTTCGGAACAGGTGCAGGGTCGGAGTCCTTTTGCAAACACTTGAACGCATAATTTTAGCGTACATTTCTTTCCAGTACCCAAACTTGCCCTGAAGGCCGAAGAGGAATTTGTGTACATTTGGATTATCGAACCTTCGGAATAAAGAAACCTTCGGACTATCGGACCTTCATACTACGTCCACAATCGTGAGATATAAGACGGCTAGCATGGACATTTGCACACAGCACCAAACCAATGTTTTTCGTTGAGTGTAATGGATTTTATCATTTACTTGATAAAATTTCATATATATGTCAAAACATGCAAAGTTGTGCGATCTCGCACCTCGGCCAATCGGAATCGACTTTACTAAATCGTGACGTCATTTCATTCCGAAATCTGGACTAAAACTATGATTGGTCAATTCGAATCCAGTGTTTTGTAATACAAGAACATCCGCAAGCGTACTTAAAATTGAGAAAACCAGTGTTGTATACAACCGCAGCTATTGTGCCTTGCACTCTTTCTTGAAAAGAATCTCGATCTCAAAACTTTGGTAATCTTATGTTTTCATTTGTTTCTTCACACAGTTGTCAATAATATACCATCAGTCTGTTTGCTTTTTCTGTACTTACTGTTTTCTAGTATAATGTGCAACACTGGAAAATAAGCATGTCAACTACATGAAGCGATATAGAGGTTTTTTTTCCATGAAGAAGACATCCAACCCGTAATATGTCACAAAGGTTCGGAATTCACTCACCAGTTTCCTCGAACCAATATACTTTCATATCCTCCTGGTTTTCTTAACCATTTTGTTTGTCTGTTGAAATAACTTGAAAAAGTGCACTACCGATAGATTTAATAGAGGAACAAATATCAAGAAATCCCATTGGCAGCTATTGTGCATTTCACATTCTTTCTTCAAAAAGAACTAAGATCCACAAACTTTGGTAATCTTGTGCTTTCTTGCGTTTTCTCCACACAGCTGTGAATAACATACCAAAGTTTGTTGGTACTTCAATCAAACACACCATGAACGGCTGGGCGTGGCAGGCAACAAGCATCGCTGAGCAGGTGGGCAGCTCCGTCACCTTTGTTGGCAATCTCTTGGCCCTGATCATATTCCTCTGGAGCAAGAGGCTTCGCATCAAATACTACGCCTTCGTCATCAATCTCGTCATCGCCAATCTCTCTGATCCCATCCTGACCTTCATCTATCAATACTACGATAATGATATCCTTCTGGCTCTGCTTCGTACGGGGCTCTTCGTGGCCGAGTTGAACCTTCTGGCCATCGCCGTCAACCGTCTGCTGGCGCTGTCTATCACTCCACCTGCCCGCTACGACTCCTTGGTGACCAGCGGGCGCCTGTTTGTGGTCTGCATTCTGCTCTGGCTCATCTCAGCCGCCATCTACCTGCCTTCAACGTACGTCTACAATCAGGTAGTCATCCGCTTGGTCCGGCCTCTGATAACCCTCACCATCCTCCTTGTCACAGCGGTGCTGTACTATATTGTCTTCCTGAAGATTTCTCGCTACACCCCGCCGCTGGCGTCCACCCCTCCTCTCAAGGACGCCGATGAGGTGACCCGTACCCGTATGCGTCAAACTCGCTACATGATGGTGACTGTTACGATCATCCTGGTCAGTTCTCTCATCTGCTGGCTGCCGTTCTGCTGCGCCAACTTCTACATTTACTTCAGCGGCAAGTATTACGGGCGCCACACCGAGGAGTTTAAGATCATGTACACGGCCTTTATCCTTCTCTTGATGGTCAACTCGGCTATCAATCCTTTCATCTACTGGTGGCGCATCGCAGAGTTCCGTGACGGCTTGAAGCGGGTGGTGTGCTGTCATTGCATCCGAAGGCAGAATCCGGATGAAGATGATCCTGAGCTGGAATTGTACGGTGGTGACAACTTGGGTAACACCATCAATTCCACCATCAATTCCAACATGTAAAGACTCAGTCCACAGGCAGTGCGTCCAACGCCCAGGGATGTAGTCGAGTCCTCCATGAGTCTATAACAAGTCCAGTCACAGGGAACAATACAAAAAAAAAACTTTGTTTAAGCTCACTTAAATACGTTGTGATTTGATTTGTACAATATCCGAAGCACCCAATTTAGCCTCGGGTCTATTTTCATGTTGATGCATCCGTGCCTAGTAATATAAACATCGGATTATATTTACATGTAGCCACTACAAATTTGCAACTACACCTCCACAGAATCCGAAACCTGATTGTCCCATTTAACCTACATAGGGAGGATTAATACTGAAATTATACAAAATACACGTTAGAAAGTTGGTACACGCACAGGGTTCCTTATGGGTAAAACACAATATAACAATAGACCCCATAAGGAAGTCTTTAGAAATCAGTCTACCCTACAACGGAAACGCTACGGAGTTTGAGATTTCAATAGGAACAAAGGAAAACAAAAGATGGAAAACAAAGGTCTTCCCCATAAGTATAATGTAAGGTGGCTGTGAAGGGACAATGAAAATTGCAAATTATTGAAGTCAATGTTTTGCAACAACAATTCCCTCTTTGTCCAAAGTCCCAAATACTGACGCTAATATTTATGACGAAAGTTTCACGTCTCGTTTTCCGTTCTCAAATAAGTATTGACGTCCGTATCTGCGTTTGCAGGCAAGTCGTGAATGTTTATTTTGAATATTGAGGTGAACATTAGCGATTTGCACTGTCCCGTCAAAGCCTCTGTACAATTGGAGAAAAGTATATTGGTGATTTGGTTTTTGGATTTTGATTTTTGTGTTGAGGTTGTTAAAATCTTTTGATGATTATTTCTTAACGTTTGTTTTACTTTGTGCTTGATTTGGCGTGTTTAACGACGACGCTGTGTAAATATATCATGATTTGAGTACTTTCATAACAATTTTAATAACCGTAATATTACACATTTTGTATTTCTAATACAATCTCTTTTTCCATTTATTCTCTTGATTTTTCAAAAGTAATTTGTTTTATTACATAGAGGGACATACGGGTTGAGTTTTTCTTTAAACCGCAGTTTTCTGGATTGATTTTTCTTCGAAACTTGTACATATTTTCTATCGGTAAGTTTTCATTTACGAGTATTTCTTTTGTCTTTTTGTATTAGGAGCTAGTATTTTTGGTGTCGCATGACAAATCTTTATTCAAGCCTGTGAAAATTCAAATAGTCACTAAGATGTCATTAATGTGCACTTTGTTTTATAGTTTTCCAAGGTGTGGCTTAAATTTGAAGCTTTTGCAATTTGTATTTTACTCGCTGTTCTCTTTAGAATCTAAATATTAATAGGTTCATTTACTGGTAAGTTTGTTAAACTGAATTGGGACCAACTTTTTAATTACATTTAAAAAAACAAAATGGAATGCTGTTAAGCTTTACTGTTTCAAGGAAAATTGAGACTAACACTTGATATCAAGGGCGGATCCAGAATACAATTTTTTTTTTGGAGGGGGGGGGGGGTCCAAAACAAATGTGTGGTCCCCCAAAAAAGTTGGTCAAAAAAATTACGGCGTGGGTTTCGGGGCCCGCTTAAGGGCACCTAAATTTTTTTAGATTCTAAATGCTCTGTGGTGCGATCTGAGGCAATTTCTGACCAATTTAACCAATGTTTTTTTTTGAGGAAAAGATGGTGGTATACTCATTGCCTGCCTTTATTGCGATGTCACATAAACAAAAAATGGTTTCGTTTTCTTTTTTTTGGGGGGGGGGGGATGGCCCCCTTTGGCCCCCCCCCCCACCCCCCCCCCCCCCCCCCGATCCGCCCTTGCTTGATATTGTTTACTCGATAAAATTAGAAAACCGTAGGTAATTGTTTCTAACATTAAATTAGATATTAATCATGCTTGTTCTGATTTAAGTCATTTATCGTGTTCGTTCTAAAATGAATTGAAGATTTCTCAAGGTTTAATGCCGGAAATTGCTGAGGCTTTTTAAGGTATCACAACCTAAGGCGGATTGCCGGCTTTCTTTTAAACCCCAAACATTCTTTACACATCTTTATGATGAGCGATAAACGCAGCTTATAACGCGTGGAAATTTATGAGGACTTACTTGTCGTAATATGTAAACCATTTGAATACCGGTAACTGACCTCTCTTTCAAAACAAGGTTTATATGCCGCCTGGGGCCAATTTCGCGGCGCTGCTTAACAGTTAGCAGAAAAGGTGTGTTTAGCATAGCAGAAAACTTTGCTAACTCTTAGCACTATTTCACAGCTTGGACGTGCGACCAGTCGCACGTGCATGGAGATTTCAATTGTTACGTCACTAAGTTAAGCAAATTCCTCTGAAGTAAGCGTGCCTTTTGCTGTGCTAATGCTTACGGTCTCCATAAAATAGACAAAGGCTCTGTTAGCAAAACAAGGTGTGCTTAGCAGCGCCGTGAAATTAGGCCCTGATCTGCCGTAGTCTGCATAATTAAGTCGAAAATCTGAATATGCAAAGCAGAAGCAATTACAATTCATAACCTTGATTGAGATAGCAAAGTAACAGATGGCAAATAAGAGCTGGAATAATTAATGGTGACAGACCGCAGCCTCCATCTCTGTTTTGGGGTTCTGTGCAATATTCATATTACGACCAAAAATACTGCAACTGTGGCGATTTCGGATGACCAAAAAAATTGACATTTTAGGTCAAAATCGTTAAAAGCTATGATTTTTACCTTCAAATGTTAGAAAAGCGCTCCTTGCAATCATTTTGGATTCAGAATGCGGATGATTAAAACAGGATGAACATTGCCTCAATAATGTTTTTCTACGTTATTAAAAACTACATGAATGAAACAAAGTTGCAATTTTGCCAAAGATTCTGTTTTGGTCAAAAATTAGCAACATCCAGCAAAAGGCCCTCTCGTGGTAGACGAATTGGAACCAGATACCGTCATAGTTAGAGTAGCGGCGGAAGCATATGGAAATAATGCGGTTGAAGCACAATGCCCCCCCCCCCCCACCACCACAATCCTGAGAAGAATTATCCTCATAATTTCTACTCAGTGTATTCATTAATTCACGCACTAAGGTAATTTGAGCGGTGAACTAGTTTTTACAGTAAAAGTCTCCTATTTGAAATTCAGACGTATTTCGGAATATTCCTTACATGAATTACGGCTCGTTCAAATGTATTATATGCCATGTAAAAATTGATCGTCTCACATCATTAACCTTATATAGCTTCTCATAGCTGACACACACATCACACTGTCTCCAAAGGTGAACATCAAGACTACAGCTGCTGCAGTCTGTAACCGGTAAGTGGCATTTTTGATGTCGAGGTGTTTTTCGAGTCCCAAAGTTTAATAATGAAATATGCAGATCTACTGTGTGAGTCTCTCAATAGTATTTGACGAGCTTATTGTCACACAGCTCGACACAGATACTTTTACAAATACACATGCAAAAGGACTCGGAGCAGGGACGGGACCGGAGTCCTTTTGCAAACACTTGAACACGTACTCAATCTCGCCCGATTATTCAGATATCACTGTTTGCTTTTTCTGTACTTACTGTTTTCTAGTATAATACATATGTGCAACACTGGAAAATAAACATGTCAACTACATGAAGCGATATGGAGTTTTTTTTCCATGAAGAAGACATCCAATCCGTATTATGTCACAAAGGTTCGGAATTCACCCACCAGTTTCTTCGAACTAATATACTTTCATATCCTCCTGGTTTTCTTAACCATTTTTTTGTTTGTTGAAATAACTTGAAAAAGTGCTCTACCAGTAGATTTAATAGAGGAACAAATATCAAGAAATTCCATTGGCAGCTATTGTGCATTTTATATTCTTTCTTCAAAAAGAACTAAGATCCACAAACTTTGAAATCTTGTGCTTTCTTGCGTTTCTCCACACAGCTGTGAATAGCATACCAAAGTTTGGTGGTACTTCAATCAATCGCAACATGAACGGCTGGGCGTGGCAGGCAACAAGCATCGCTGAGCAGGTGGGCAGCTCCGTCACCTTTGTTGGCAATCTCTTGGCCCTGACTATATTCCTCTGGACCAAGAAGCTTCGCATCAAATACTACGCCTTCGTCATCAATCTCGTCATCGCCAATCTCTTTGATCCCACCATGACTTTCATCTTGCAATACTACGATAATGATATCCTTCTGGCTCTGCTTCGTACGTCGTTCTTTGTGGCCGAGTTGAACCTTCTGGCCATCGCCGTCAACCGTCTACTGGCGCTGTCTATCACTCCACCTGCCCGCTACGACTCCTTGGTGACCAGCGGGCGCCTGTTTGTGGTCTGCATTCTGCTCTGGCTCATCTCAGCCGCCATCTATCTGCCTTCCACCTACGTCTTCACTAAGGTCACCATCCGATTGGTCCGTCCTGTGATAACCCTCACCATCCTCGTCGTCACAGCGGTGCTGTACTACATCGTCTTCCTGAAGATTTCTCGCTACACCCCGCCGCTGGCGTCCACCCCTGCTCTCAAGGACGCCGATGAGGTGACCCGTACCCGGATGCGTCAAACTCGCTATATGATGGTGACTGTTACTATCATCCTGGTCAGTTCACTCATCTGCTGGCTGCCGTTCTGCTGCGCCAACGTCTACATTTACTTCAGCGGCAAGTATTACAGGGGCCAAACTGAGGAGTTTAAAATCACGTTCACGGCCTTCATTCTTCTTTTGAAGTTCAACTCGCTTATCAATCCTTTCATCTACTGGTGGCGCATCTCAGAGTTCCGTGACGGCTTGAAGCGGCTGGTGTGCTGTCATTGCATCCGACGGCAGAATCCAGATGAAGATGACCCTGACGTGGAACTGTACGGTGGTGACAACTTTAGTAACACCATCGATTCCCATGTGTAAAGACTCAGTCCGCAGTGCATCCAACGCCAAGGAATGTAGTCGAGTCCTTCACTAGTCTATCACAAGTCCATAACATGTCCAGCCACATAAACAGTGGAAGAAAAATAAATAAAACCACTTGTCAAAGCTTACTTTTATAACTTGTGTTTTGCTTTGTACAATATCCGTCGCACCGTATGGGAAATTCCCCAATTTGGCCGCGGGTCTATTTTCATTTTGATGCATCTGATCCTAGCAATATTAAATACCCCACCGTAAAATTGGAGTGAGGTATATTGGTTAATTCAGTTTTTCGATTTTGATGTTTATTCGGTAGTGGTTAAAATCCTTAATGATTATTTCTTAACGTTTGTTTTTCTTAACATACTGCAACGACGCTGGGTATTTTAACCAATTTTAATAAGCCACAGTTTTTTGGATTGATTTTTCTTCGAAACGTGTATATATTATCCATCGGTAAGTTTTCATTTACGTTTATGTCTTTCGTCTTTTGTTTTTTAGCTACTTTTAGGGCCTAGCCATTTTTGGTGCCGTATGTTAAATCTTTATTCAAACCTGTGAACATTTAATTTGTCACTAAGCTTTCATTGATAAAGATTTTGTTTTATAGTTTTCCAATGTGTGGCTTAAATGTAAAGCTTCTGCAATCCATATTTTATCCGCTGTCCTCTTTAGAATCATAATATAAATAGGTACATGTATTGGTAAACTTGTTATACTGAACTTGGACCAACTTTTTAATTACATTAAACAAAATGAAATGCTTTTTAAGCTTTACTGTTTCAAGGCGAATATAGACTTACGCTTGATATTGCCTGCTTGATAAAACTAATAACTGTCGGTCATCGTTTCTAACATTAAATTAGATATTAATCATGTTCGTTCCGATTTAAGCCATTTATCGTTCTGATTTAAGGTATCACAAAGGAGGATAGCTGGGTGCTGTGGTCCAATGGTTACAGTGTTCGACTCGTGTGCCGTGGTACATGGGTTCGAATCCTGACAAACTGGTGTTTGTGCTCTTGAGCAAGGCACTTTACCATTATTGTATCGTCCTTCGGATGGGACGTAAAGCCGTAGGTCCCGTGTGTTGTTTAATGCACGTTAAAGAACCCAGTAACACTCACCGCTAATAGAAGGGGTTTGCCCCGGTGTTTCTTGCAGTGGCTGCTTAATGCGCTGCAGCACCTTGTTTAGCCTTATAAAGGTGTTATACATAATGATTCTCATATTTCTCATGTACTTCATTCACCTTTCTCTAATAATAAAAATATTTTTTTCAGCACCTTGAGTACCTAATTGTTGGTAGATACGTGCGTTATATAAGACTCCGGTATTATGATCGTGTTCGTTCTAAAATGAATTGAAGATTTCTGAAGGTTTAATGCCAAAAATTCCTGCAGCTTTTTAAGGTTTGAAAACGTAAGGAAGATTGCTGGTTTTCTTTTGAACCCCAAACATTCTTTATACAAGGTCATCTTTTTATGAGCAATACACTCAGTTCAGTTGACGAGTACAAATGAGTTACTTGTAGTAACATTTAAGCCAGTTGAATACCGGTAGTTGACCTCTCTTTCAAAACAAGGTTTATAGGCCGCCTGGTCTGCCGTAGTCTGCATTATTAAATCGAAGATCTGAATATGCTAAGCAGAAGCAATTAAAATTCATACCTTGATAGAGATAGCGAAGTAACAGACGGTAAGTTAGAGCTGGAATAATTAACGTTGACGGACCACAGCTTCCATCTCTGTTTTAAGGTACTGCGCACGATTTATATTACGACCAAAAATACTGCAATTGTGGCGATTTCGGATGAAAACAAATGACAAATTAGGTCAAAATCATTAAAAGCTATGAGTTTTACCTCCAAATGTTAGAAAAGCGCCCCTCACGATCATTTTGGATTCAGAATGATGCTGATTAGAATTGGATGACTATTGCCTCAATAATGTTTCTACGGAATTAAAAAAAAATGCATGAAAGAAAAAAGGTGAAATTTTGCCAAAGATTCTGTTTTTTGTGTCAAAAATTAGCAAAATTTAGCAAAAGACCCTGTTGTGGTAGAGGAACTGGAACCAGATACCGTCATAGTTAGAGTAACGGCGGAAGCATATGGAAATAATGCTGTGGAAGCACAATGTGCCCCCCTTTCACAATCCTGAGAAGAACTATAATACCCTGTCCATCAAGGTCTTCTTCATTTCCAATTCAATCTAATATTATTTTTGTTTTTGTCTCATGCATTTTTAGAGTCATAATTTCTACTCAGTAAATTCATTTATTCATGCATTGCTAAAGGTAATTTGAGTGAGGAATTAGTTTGTCCAGTATGGGTCTCCTATATAAAATTCATATTGTATTTCGGAATATTACTTACAATGTATGGCTCGTTTAAAGGCTACTATGCCGTGTAAAAATCAATGGTCTCATATCATGACCTAAAATCGCTTCTCATGTAAAACATCACCTTACATGTGTATCTCCAAAGGTGAACATCAAGACTACAGCTGCAGTCTGTAACCGGTAAGTGGCAGTTTTGATGTCGAGGCGTTTTTCGAGTCTCGAAGTTTAATAATAAAATATGCAAATGTACTGTTTGAGTTTGGCAATAGTATTGGACGAGCGTATTGACACACCGCCCCACGCGGCGGATGTACAGTACTTTCACAAATACACCTGCAAAAGGACTCGGAACTGGGACAGGATCGGAGTCCTTTTACAAATATTTGAACACATAGTTTTAGCGTACATTTCGTTCAGGTACTGATTTTTGGGGGCCTGACCATTTTTTCGTGCCAAAATCTTCATTCAAACCTGTGGAAATTAAACTAGTCACCAAACTGTCGTTAATATGCATTTTGTTTGATAGTTTTCCCAATGTGTGGCTTACATTTAAAGCATTTGCGATTGGCATTTTACGCTCGATTCTTTTTCGACTCTCAAACATCAATCGGTACATGTATACTGGTTAGTTTGTTCAACTGAATTTGGAACGACTGTTTCAATAATCCTATATGAAAAACAACGAAATGCTGTGAAGCTTTACTGTTTCAAGGAAAATTGAGACTAACGTTGACTTTGTTTACTTGATAGAGTTAATATCCATCGTTCATTGTTTGTTATATTAAATTAGATATTAATCAAGTTCGTTCTAATTTAAGTCATTTATCGTGTTCGTTCTAAAATGAATTGAAAATTTCTCACGGATCAATGCCGAAAATGGCGGGGGCATTTAAAGCGTTACAACCTAAATTCGATATACTCAGTAATGTGTACTTACTTGTAACATATTAAACAAATAAATAAGAGACCCTTCTTTACAAAATAAGGCTTATACGCTGCCTGGTCTGCCGTAGTCCACATAAGGGCTTCTCTTTTTTCCAATTATATCATTTCGTCTTGAATCTGTCTAATTTCGTGGGGAAAAACGCCGAAGTAATGGCCACTATATCACGAGCGTGCATTCACAACGGTACGATGCAGTACGAATTGAGCTGAGTTTTCTGCCACAGTGCCACGTTTCGTGTGAGCACTACATGTACGGTGTTCGCTGGTCCTTACCCTGTTATTATGTTGCACGCTGTGGGGGACGGGCGCTGCATGCCTCACTAGTCTGGTTCCCTGGCCTGACAATTCCCCGACTCCCTGATCTCAATTGTAGTCAGGTAACCACAACCGGGCTAAATATACACGATGACCCGTTTTTACGGCTCGGCTTCGTTTCCGGTTTGGCTTTATTTATCATTAAAAGGTTTTAATGCTCCGATCAAATTAGAAATAAATCAATTGTTTCATTTATCACAGAGTTTTATAGTTCTGAAGAAAACATTGACTGATGTTAAGCTGAAATCTCAAACTTAGGGACCCAAATAGCAGGCGAAGCCGAAATGGAGACGACGCCGTATTTTTTAACCAGTGGCGCACCCCAGGGTGATATGTATTTGGCATATTTTCGAGTAGTGTAGAAGGGCTGTAAATGGCACCCCCAACGTCAAAATAGTAATGTTCTGCTGCCAAAAACTTTGGGCAACGTTTTTTGGAGAAAAAAAAAACCGTTCAAACGAAAATTGAACGAAAAAAAAATGTGAGCCGCCCCCAGCCAAATCCTGTGTGCGGCACTGAACTGACTTCTGTAGTCGCTGCCATGTAGGGTATTATTGAAGCATCGCAGATCTATAGACAGGTTAGTTTTACGGTTTCTTCGGTTATCTTGGTTTTTTTGACGGATATGATACTTATTGGAGGTAAACTCATGTCAGGCTTACTGTTTTTAAATTGACTGACTGTCGGTTGGAAATGCCGACATGTAGGTTTGAAATGCCTTGCCGTCGGGGGAGGAGCATTGACTGTCGGACACAAAAAGGGTAAACATTAATACAACTAACGATGATACAACTGTGCGCCCACCGTGCAGATAAAGACTGCATGCGTGTCAATGTACTACATGCACCCAGATGACACACAGACAAAGGAAGATTCGTTGTTGTCCTCTTTGTTGATCTTTTATTGGAAACGGTCCTCGATCGTGAGTGTGTGTGCTTAGTCTATGGGAGAGTGATACATCATAGGAACAAAGGGAAACACGACGCCTTGTCCTCGAGAGTATAGTCAAACACGGCTGTGTGCATCTTTGTGTTAGCATCCATTTTTGTTTACCATTGTCGCACCACTCTGTGACGTAATGACGTCATGAATTATATAATAACTTGATTTGTATTAGCTACACCAACGACATTTTTTACAGCATTCGAATGCCAGTTTGGGTAATGGCATCTCTATGTCAACGTTTTGGTGTTTGGTACCCTCGGTGACCATGATGCTAGTCATCACCCGTTATCCACGGAGCCAAGTCTCCTGTATAACGTTTGATATATCTAAGCGTTCGTGAAGTCATTTTGTTCCGAAATCAGATTGTGATTGGTCAATTTCGATGCTGTTTTTTTTTTTAAATACAACAACCTGTACAATTACGCGTGTATAGCAGGCACCTGCTGATTGGTCAGTTTCTCGAGGTCATACGCAGTCTAGTTGCATAAATAATCGCCGAATCTTTTTTTACGTATCATAGACCATGGTCGGCTTTGCCAGGGCCAGAGTCTATTACATATACTAACCAGATGCCGGCTCTGCTGGCTTTTACAGATACTCGCGCATTAAGAATCAGTGTTCAAGCAGTGGATCATGGTAATAAAACGCATATCTTAATACATGGCTATGGGTGCCTGAATTCATTATAACGGAGGTGTTTTGTTTTCCCATCCAGGTGTTTCTTAAATTTCGTGCTTTTTATGTCAAGAAAACCGCAGCAATTCTGCAATGGATGACGTAGACGCAGCCTTAATGGGAGCCAGTATCCTCATGCAAGTGGTCGCTGGCATCGCAGTGGTTTTGAATCTTCTCGTGGTGGTGGTGTTTGCTCGAACCAAGCAACTCCGCATCAAGTACTTCGGCTTCGTCTTCAATCTCGTACTCGCCGACATCGCATGCCCTGCCGCAGCGATTGCCCAGATAGCAAGCCGATGTTGGGCCAACGTTGGTTAATGGTTGATTAATTGGCTGAATATCGGTGTTGGCTGAGTGATGTTGGCCCATTGTTGGCCCAACAACAGAAAGTTTTCTTAAACTTAACAAAAAAGTTGACCGTTGGCCCATTGTTGGCCCAATGTTGCTGAAAATGACGGCAATTTCCATATCGGCACGCCGTTGGCCCAATACAATTGGTGCGCTTCGCACATTAATCTGAAAGTAAATGACGCACATACAGTATAGGCCTACGGATGTCAAACTCATTACTAGAAATTGAATCAGTAAACGGCTTCTTCGGATTGTATTAAAATAATTATCCCTTTGTATGTCATTTATGTAGTTTAAAGAAAACTTCATAAATTCAAAACATTTTATAAATTGTCCGTGCTTTAAAATAATGGACTAAAAACACCGCGAAAATTTTGCGCGTCTGCAGCAGCTAGCTGGCAAGTGGCCAAATAACTCGTATACACTCGTACATATTAAATACGCAGTATTGTATACAATATAGCGCGCATCGGTGATCGTGAACGCGTTGTTAGTGCATGCATGCAGTACATACACGTCCCGCATGCTCTCTCCCCGGCCGTCTGTACAAGAATCAAGCAAGGGAGTCCCTCTGCAACCGATCAACCGAACTTTGCTCAACAAAGACCACGATACTGCTAAAGTGCATGCTAGTTTGTTGAGATGAGGTGTGTAGAACTTTTCCAATCAATTTCTTAAAGCCATGCAAACCGTGTTTTGAATGCGATATGTAGCAGATGTAAACCTAGGCTTGTTTTCTTAGCCCAATCACGTTGCTCAGTACATTGTACATGTACGAGCAACCGTAGGGTACCTGGCCCACAGTGTGCATGTTCCATAACGTTTAGCTTGCTGGATCTGTGGCTGTACTTTGCTAATAATTTTGGCTGTGTACTAAACGGTAGTCTATTGAGTACTGTTTGGGGTAAAATGTACAGGGCATCATCTTACTGGACAAAGAGAAGGAAATTAAAAGCTAGAGTTTCAGAACACATTAATGACATAATTGAAAGTACTCCTAAGCGGCCTAGGCCCAATTGTTGCGATCATTTGGGCCTAGGCCTACTTTCAAGCAATGGCAACCCAAGCCTATCCCTTTCTGCGTCAGTGCCTGATGAGTCGGTAACAGCACTTACTGCAAGTTCGTCAGATGAAGAACACTCAAACTTAAGCAATGTTGACACGGTTGATGAGACTGCAAGTGCAACAGATGCCTTCCTTGATCCTGCTTGCAACACAAACAGTAACCAATCATTTGATCACCTAATGTTGCTTCCTGAAGATATGCAAATGTACCATTTCCATGATAACCATCATGGGCATTCTAGTAGTACTGGAAGTGAGTTTAACTTAGACGAAAGTGTGACAATGAGATCGGAAGCAAAGTTGATAGCTGATATCAAAAATTGGGCAATACAAACAAATATTCCTATGTCAGCTCTTGGTGCACTACAGGAAATACTAAAGGTTTATTTCCCTTCCATGCCCAAGGATCCACGGACTTTGTTGAATACAAAAACATCTCTTGCTGTAAAAGATATTGCTGGAGGCCAGTATTATTATTTTGGAATCGTAGATAGCATCAAGGACATTCTTCAGTCACATGTTGAGTTGTACGATGAGTCATCCCTATATTTGCAAGTGAACATTGATGGATTGCCTCTATTTAGAAGCTCTAACACACAGTTTTGGCCTGTTTTAGGTCGTTTAATGGGTTGCAAAGAGCCATTCATCATTGCTTTGTTTGTTGGAGAAACCAAACCAACAAGTGTTTCAGAGTACTTGCATGACTTTATTGAGGAAGTTGTCAGACTAAAAAGTGAAGGATTTGATGTGGATGAAAAACATTTCACTCTTCATGTTTCATCAGTCATATGTGACACACCTGCCCGAGCATACATCAAGAGAGTGAAGTCACACAGTGGTTATCATGGTTGTGATAAATGTTGGGTGGAAGGGGAATGGGAAAATAAAATGCTATTTCCACAAGTTGATGCAAAATTGAGAACTGACGATGAATTCCTCAAAATGGCAGATGAGTATCATCACTTAGAAGCATGCCCATTAAATGACATAGGTATAGGTCTAGTATCTGCATTCCCAGTTGATTATATGCATCGGGTGTGTTTGGGTGTCACTCGTCGATTGTTACTGCTCTTGATTAAAGGCCCCCTACAGTGCCGATTAAGTGCGATAAGGAGGAAGGAGATATCTGATGACCTAGTGAATCTCAGAAACAGTGTTCCACGGGAGTTTGCAAGACGCCCACGGTCCTTGAAGGAAATCGCTTGCTGGAAAGCAACTGAATTCCGACAGATACTATTGTACACTGGGAAACTAGTTTTAAAACGAAGGGTTTCAAAGGAGGTTTATGATCACTTCCTGCTCCTTTCTGTTTCAATGCATATCCTCCTGAACCCAGGATTTTGTCAGCTGTACAGTGACTATGCAAAAAAATTACTTGTCTTGTTTGTGGAACAGATGGGTAGTATTTATGGTAGGAGCCAGTTTGTTTACAACGTTCATGGACTCATCCACTTAGCAAGTGATGCTAAGCAGTTTGGGACTCTGGACAATATTTCAAGTTTTCCATTCGAAAACTTTCTCCAGAAACTAAAAAAACTGGTAAGGAAACCATCATATCCTCTTGTGCAGGTTGTACGTCGGCTTTCGGAAGACAGACTGGCACATTCATGTGACAAAAACAAGCAGCCTTGTGTAAAAAGAGAGCACTCGGAGGGTCCTTTACCTCAGTTTATCCAACCCCACAGTACTAAGCAGTACAAAGAGCTTCACTTAAGCTCATGTATCATCTCATTAACTTGGAGGGACAGTTGCATTAAAGTTGATGATGGCGTTGGGATAGTTCGCAACATTTTGTTGGATGGCCAGATAACTGTCATCTATGAACTTTTCAAAGTGGTAGATAATTACTTCATGACCCCATTGCCATCGGGCTGTCTTGGCATACACAAGGTAAAAAGACTAGATGGTGTACTGCATTCATGCTCCATGGCAGATATTAGATGCAAGTGTGCAATATTCCCTTACAGAAGGGCCCACTTAGTTGTAGCATTAAATCACCAGGTCTTTTGAATTCTGCAACTGACATTTTCACATCAAAGTTACATTAGTTTCAGTAAGTAGATGCATCAAAAGTACTTTTTGACCACTGTTAATTTCTAAATTTGATTTTTTCTTTTTTTACAGTTTCAATGAACTTTTCCTTAAAATTTGTACTTTTTAATCTCATCTCGAAAAGCATGGTTTTTAGAAATTGATGCGTTCAAAATATCTGAAGAAGCAAACGTGTAAATATCCTCAATCTAATTGAGGATGATTGTATTATGTCAAGTATCTATGCAGTGATCGAGTTTGTTGGAGAGCAGTCGGTTGCATTAGCAGCAGAGAGCTGGTTGGTGGACAATGAGACATCTGTAATGTGGCCGCCTTATAAGTCACAGACGAGAGTAGACAAGGCAGTGCAGAAACGTGAACCACCAACAGATGGATATCAGAAGTTTCCATGCCGTGTTTTGTACAAAACTAGTAAGTTTTAAACAGGGCAGATGCAGTTCATTATGCTTCACATGTTTTAATTAGCCCCCACATTCAAAATGTAGCTGTTTGCACATTCCTCTCTTAAGATCCTTCTATAAATGTTGTGTAGCCCCCAGTTTCATCACTCAAGAGCATTTACACACTGAATTGATCATAAACGCATGTTTATACCTTGATCTAGAGAAAGGTGGTTAGTTTGAATGAAATTGCAAATGGTTTCAAAATGGTCTTTCACTTGTGGGTAGAGGGGGCTTAAGCCTAGTGTCCAAAATTGATAATTCAGGAAGTGTTTTGCTAGGCAACTTTTACAAAATATGTATAGACAAACTATTGATGCTGGCATAGCATTTGTATTTCTTTTGATGTTTTATTTTTGAAGGCTCATATGAAAAAGGCTTGGCAAAAGTGAGGAAGGCAGAGGACATTTCAGATTTGGCCACAGATGCTGAATGTGCTGGTATCCCTGTGAAGAGGAAGTCAAGGTAATGATTCAAACTAATTTTAGGTGGGTTATGAAACTTTCATAAAACAAAATTTGAGTAGTCTCAGTCAAATAGCTCACTGAAAATACATTATGACCGATGGTGTGAGTAAAAGTGTAAAAGCTTTTTTTTTCGTCTTGAGAATGGGAATGAATAGTTTCAGATCGTACTTTTCCTTAACAGTTTCATAGCTCATGATACAATTCCATGAATTTGTACAACAAATTGTATACTTGACACTGACTGGTTTGGAAAGTGCAAACACATCTGTGACTATCATCACTGGCCAGACACAAAGTTGCTGTTCGGTTTCCAGCTGATTGAATATTAACAACAATTCTAGGAGTCGGTTAATTTGAGTTTGAGCTTAAGCTACACTATTGAGGTAGTATTTGACACAATGGACTGTTTCACTTTTTGTTGACCAAAATTTCTAGGCCAAACCCACGTTACCAAGATAGCGATTCCTCTTCTGACGAGGATAGACCAGGCCCATCACACACCATTCAGCGAGGCAATCAACAAAAGCAACATCCAGCTGCAACTTCTGCACCAAAGACGCCTCCTCGAGCACTGCCTTCTCCACCCTCATCCTTGATCAGTCAGTGGCCAGCTCCAGTTTGTACAGGTATTTTTTTATAATCATTCTATAAAGTGGAAAAAGCGGTGTTTTGGGGGCATTTTTTTGGGGGGGGGGGGGCAGAGAGTGGTATTTCGGTGTCATGAAATTCATTTGTTCCCAACATGTCAGACTTTCGGACATGTCCATCTCAGTAACAACTCATTAACTTCACAGTCCTGAATCCTCCAAAATTGATTCAATTTTGCACACACCCCAGATATTTAGGGTTAATAAAGTGATTAACTGATTGTGATGCCTTATAGATCTTAATTAAACAGTGTAAAACCTTATTTGTTCAAGCTAAAAATGCATTAGTTTGCTTGACCATTCACAATTGGGTTGAATGTTCTAGGTAATCAAGGATGTTTTACTTACTCTTGTCCGGTCATATTGTAAACATGGCTTCTCAGCTTAACATAAGGGATAATTTCTTAACAGAACTTCATTTTTTTTAACAGTTTATTTTTGTTTTAAGTTTCTATTTATTTATTTTTTTTATGTTATGCATTTGTCTTTTCCCGGTCTATGTACATAGCAACAGAAAAGAAAATATTGACAATGCTTGAAGAGGTCAAGATGTTTCAAGCGGAGAACAGGGCAATGCTCATCAGCATCTGTAGAAAGCTTGACAACTATGTGCAGGGCAATACAGCTTCAACCAGTGGTCTTCCAGAGGAGGTGGTTCTTCCTTTAAAGTTGGTGAAGGACATGCGAGACCTTGAAACTACCCTAAACAACTTTGAGAAGGAGAAACAATTGGTGGGCCATCACTTCCATTTTTATAGCTATTTATGCATTAACTTTTTTTTTTCTTTAAAGGATTGAAAACAATTACAATCAAAACCTCATTCTGCTTTAACGTTTAAGTTTCAATCTTGTAGACCATGCAAAAGAGTTGTTTTATTTGTCTGCTCAGGTGGCATACTTATCCAACATCGGGGGAGACAGTCTAAAGAGCATCGTACGAAGAATCCTTACATGTGTCATCAGCAACGACCTAGCACGACAGTATAACTGGGTTGGCAAAGGAACAAAGGAAGCTTTTTGCAAGCTGAGGCTTGTCACTGTCATCCACAGTAAGTGATTGGACCGTATGTTTTAATCTCATGGAGCTAACTTATTGAAATCCTGCCTTTCCAATATCTCTGTTCATGATCACTTTGAAATTGATGAAAAAAAAAATGTGAATTATTTTCTAGGAGCTGTTCGAAGAAACCCATCTGTGCAGTCGGCCACAAACGCCGAAATTGACGAGGTGATGAAAGTGTGGCTCCGCTACTCGAAAGACCGAGATGGTGGCAGGGCAGCAAGACGAGCAGCAGCCGCAGCCGCAGCTGTAGCTGAGCCTGCAGCAAGCCAGAGTCCTTCCAATCTTGATGAACTATCCACAGAGGAATACAGCAGCAGTGACAGGGAATGAAGGTTGTTCAATAGTGTTTCATAAAAAGAGGTATTCTTGATTTTAACAGTTAATATGACAAGACCTTTTCAAAAGCCTTTGGTAAAAAAAGCTGGTTTTTTTTTAGATAACATCTTAAAGCATTGCTGTGTTATTTCTCACTAGATTCCATATGTTGAAATTATGATACTTTTGCAATGAACCCCAAAAATTGTCAAAGTCTTGCTTTTCAATCAGTTGTGTGATGGCCAGTGTGGGTTGGTGCATAAAGCCTGATTTATTTTTCATTTGGCATTTGAAACACTGGTATTTAGTGAATAACAGTAAAAAAAAAAAAAAAACCTCACGGTTTCATCTGAAAGCTTTTGCTTCCGATTGCCAAAGCCAAGTGAAAGTCAAGAACGTTAAGGTCTGCTGCAACCAACAAAGCCTTTAAAGTACAATTACCAATTTTTAAAAAGCCCTTTTTGTATCTGTTCTTGTTGAAGTTATTTTTATGTAAAACTTTGCATGATGGGGGAAACTTTCTAAAACTAAAGTTTATTGTGACACCATTTACTAATCTCTCTTGAAGCAGGTGGTAAAAAGTGAAGAAACAAACTCATTGTGTAATTATTTACACCTGAGGCTTTTCAGAACTACCACAACCCACAGAAGATTAATAGTTGGTATTACCACAAACCCTAGTTTTAGAATGCCGAAACCATGAAGCTTCTTTTTAATAATTAGCAAAATAATGATTACAGCAAAGTTTCAAAGACTTGCACTGCGAGGACAGTGATTGCTCAGATTGAAGTTCAATTGTTGAGTTGACATAAGTTTGTTTTTTATATTAAATTAGTGGCAATTTTGCCATTTACTTGCCGTTTACTTTTGAAAGTGTTAAAAGAAAAAGTGTTAATATTTTTAAAAATTGTTGCAAAGAAATATAGCTGCTATGCTTTGAACAATCACATGTACAACACTTTGAAAGTAGTTTTTAATGTGTTAAAACTCATTTTTTTTTTCTATAAACCAATTCACCAAAAAAATGCAGATAGACAAGCTAAAATTGCATTGGTGTCCTTGCTATACAAAAATAAGTTAACCTTTGACTGCCTTCCAAATACCCTGTAATTGTAATATGATTATTTTGTAAATTATGTTATTTTTTCATAAAAATGTAAACGAATCAGTTAAGAATTAAAGTGCAATCGGTTTAAAGTCTAATATGCTATGAGGATTTTTCTTTTCGCTGAACAACCATAAGAACGCAGTATACAATCTCCCATTTAGTAAATTTATTGAAAATTTATTTTTGTGATCATTGGACAAATCCATCCCTAACGGTCAAAAGAATTCTTAGAAACAAAGAAAGTGAACGCAGTATCTTTTCTTCTGTTTAAGCGTATTATTTTAAGTAATGCCCCCAACCCCGCTCTCACCACCAAACCAACATTTGTATTTACCATCATTACAAATATATATGTAGAATGCAGACGCGCGCTAAAACACCAACCAAACACCCTACGTGCCCCAACCGTCAACCAACGAAGGCTCTATGTAGGCCCGTTGTTTGCCCAACTGAGACCCAACAATCGGCTGAACACAATTGGCCCAACCACGCATTTTTAGTATTGGCCCAACCTTGGTCAAATGTTGGCCATCAGTAGTCATGATTGGTCCGCTGTTGGCCCAACTGCGACCCAACAATCGCTGAAGCCTCATTGGCCCAATCATTAAATGTTGACATTGGCCCAACAATGGCCGAAGGTTGGCCATTCTGTATAAGTGATTGGCCCAACGTCAACCCAACATGTTGGCCCAACCGTGTGCCGATGAGCAAATCCAAATCGGGCCAATGCGGCACGCCGATGTCGGGCCAACAATTAAATCCTACGTTGGCCCAACGTAAGCTTGCTATCTGGGTGTTTATATCCACTTTAAACACGTGGCTACGGTTCTTGCCCTTGTTCGGTCTTTTTTCTTGACCGGGCAGCTCAGCATCTTGGCCGTAGCCGTGAATCGTTTGCTGGCACTGTCTCTGATGCCGCCTGCCCGCTATGACGCCGTGGTGACACCCGTCCGTATGGTGGTCGCATGTCTCCTGATTTGGATCCTATCTGCCGTGCTTTTCTTATCTACGATGAAACTTCAAGACGCGACCATCAACTGGTTGATCCAAGCTCTGACTCCCATTTTTATTCTGATCGTCACTGGGGTTCTATACCTTGTGGTCTTCCGTAAGATCTCCAGGTATATGCCGCCACTGGCGTCCATCGCTGGAACCAATAACATAGATGGACAGGCTGGTACCCGCGTGCGCCAAACGCGTCACCTTATGGTGACGTTCACGATCATATTCGTGGCGTCTGCTGTCTGTTCGCTGCCATTTTGTGTGGGCTTTATCATCCTGTTCACGCACGGCGAACCCACCTTGTTGGTAGTGGTATTCCTGCAGTACAGCTATGCGGTGTTGCTGTTTAATTCCGCGCTCAACCCTTTCATCTACTTTTGGCGTTTCCGAGAGGGGCGGGAAGGTTTCTATAGGTTGATGTGCGCATGTTCCAGCCGCAGGAAAAACCAGGCGGAAATGGATGGCAACACTGTAGTGGAGACCGAAATGTAACATTAGGCCATTGTGAAAACTGAAGCTGAATCATCTGTCAATACACACGTGTGCCAAGTTTTTGTCGAGTTCCATTTTACATGCCGCTGGGTCTTCAATCTATAACTGCCAGATTCCATTTGGATTTCCCTAAAATATGTTGTTTTTTCCTCAAACCTTTAAAAAGGTTTTTTTTCCACGGTCTTGCGTTCTTTTTTTTGGGTTCCTTTGGGTTTCGAAGCTAGAGTGTATGTTTTCGCTTCAGGATACAGATGTTCCAATATAGAATAATATACCGATTTGAGGAGCCATTTTAGGATGTTATCGTATGTGTTCAGTCTATAATCTGAGGTCCACTTTTTTCATGTCCCTAATACATGCACATCTATTATCAGTCGTCCTCCACATACCCAACAGTTTAAACATCTTTTGAAGTGATATTTGAATGGCACATTATACTAAGTATCAAGCTAACACGGACAGGGAAGAAATGTCATAAGTTGGACCCTAAATTTATCGAATGACCCCAAAATAGTGGTCGATGAATTTCGAAAAGCCATATGTTTTATAGTTACAAAATATGAGCTCATGTGCACACTCAGCAAATGCTCAGAACATCTGTTACAACTGATACTATAGTAACCAACGGATAACGTATCACCAGAAGTGTTGTAAATGTTACTACGCTATCCGTTCTGTGATGATACGTTATCGTTATTTTTTTTTGTAATTAGATTATCCGCCGACACGTGATACATTGTCGGATACAAATTGTACTACACTATCAGTCACTTTGTGTTACATTATCGGTTAGTGGTACAATAGTATCGGCCAGTTTGTGTGACATTATCGGTTTGCCATACGTTATCCGTTACTACATAATCACTTGTAACACAGTCTTGTGTCGGTAGTAGTCAAAGTTATTCAAACGAGGCTACGCCTCTGCCAATCGTGTTTCTTTTTAATCACAATAACTACCCGAGATCCGGTATCAAGGCACCATATGGTGCCTGGTTTCGGGTGGTTATTGTGTTTGGATTTTTTACAGTGAGTTGGAGGAAACACGGCTAATTATTCCAGCAGAGAATTAATTAAAGATGCAGTCCTTCCTCGTGCAGTTTTCAAGCTTCACCTCAAAGTAATTATTCACGTTTGAATCAGAAATATAACGAAAAAATCCACCGAAATTTATTCAGAGAATTATTTATAAAACCAAAATTCGAATTATTGGCAGCTCGGCAATAATTTGGCTGTCACAGGACAGGTTCATTTTGTGCACAAATTTCAAGCCCTTTTTCAAAGGGTTGAAGCGCCTTACCAAGCGCAGCGTTTACCAAAAAAAAAAGAAGCATACTTGAGGTCGCGTCAACGGCGTCCTTTTGGGCAGCAGGAACTTCTCCGCAAACCACAAGACCCTATTTATAGCGATACAACAAAAAGTCACGTGCCAGACAGTTGCCAGACAGTTGTCAGACAGTTCACTGGAAAGATAATTGACGGGGGGGGGGGGGGGGTAGTTTGCGGCTATGAAGTGAGATGGCTGTGTCAAGTTACAGGTGTTTGTATATGTTTCAATGAGACTTGGCAGGAGCCCAGGTCGAAAGTTTGTTGACACGGCTTGGGTGTAGCCCTGGCTGCAAAGTTCACTGAGCCAGCTGATTTGGCAAGGGTTGAATGAGGATTAGATAGGAGGTGACCGTCATTGGCCCTCAATTTTTTTTATTAAAAAAATTGGGTCACCGCATGCCCAAAAGGCATCAGGTCACTCTGTTTTTTGGGTTAAAAACGAAACACATATACAAATTGAAAGTTCGTGAGGAGAAACAAATTCACGTTTGTTTTGCCCAGAGCACATGGTATGCATCCTAAGTCCTATTTCCCCTGGCTTACACACAACTGTAGTTATTTCATTATGACTATACAAGTATTACGTTCAATATGTGTATAGACCAATTACAATTCAAAAAGTCAAATTAAGTTTTTAGCCATTTGGGAGAAGGGATTTTGCGGGTATATCTATGTATTATGATCCTTTTTTGGACATGTATTTGGTAGTAGCAAATATACATGTAAATTTAATTCGAACAATCGTACTGACAGGGCGCGATAGCTTTGAATTATTGGTTCCTTTAATTGTGGAATCTTTGGGTGAAGAGCAATATAAAAATAAACAAATATAATTGAATCAGAAGCATTTTCTTTTCATCGCTTGGCTTATATTTCAGATGCATTAGTGGGTTACATGGACACTGACAGCCATTTCAATTTGTTTTAAGCTTGATTGTTCAGATTCTACCCTGCGCACTTTACAGAATTGCGCCACTCTTCATTTGTGTTTTTTGTTGTGTCAATTGTCATAGAGAGAAAGGCTATGGTTGCCATTCAAGGCACGTGGGGAAAAAAGGAAAAGATTTCACCATGAAAAGTGGAGCAAATCTCTAAATAGACCCATTTAAGACGCACCGTTGGAAAGGCCTTCTTTCGTTGATTACTTCAAAATGATAGCTTTCCAGAGAGACTAATTTCACAGGGAGTTTAGTCCACTTACTATCTTTCAACCAAGTATGTTTTTCAACAATAATACGCCAGTTACTTTTTCGGATGGCTGCAAATGATGGACTATAGCTTTAACCGACTGCAAAGGAACAAATAATATACGACAATTGTCATAATTAATTTGGCCTTGCCACGGTTTAATCCTCAATCATCCATCTGCATAATCATAATAAGTGAATTCTGTGAGGGCTCAAATAAATTTAAATCTTTAAGCACGTATAATTATTATGATTTGAGTCTGCATGTATAACTAAGGCCGCGTCCGAATCGCTGATCTACAGCCATTGTTTAGGCATTCACCCTTTGAAACTGCGTGGAAACAAGTTGACAATAAGTCGAAGCTAGCTGCAATAATAATAATACCATTAGGGAGACATTCCTATAAGCTTGTCCACAAATAATAATCCGACTTTCCTGACCCCTTACCCCAATTTCCCTAATCCTATCCCCACAAATTTCGGTAGTTTTACTAATTGGACCACTAGCAATCGATCTAGCCTATTTCCGATACTAAAATTTCGCCTCTAAATAGCTAGAGCCGGGGTATAAGGGAGACACTGAAATGTCTCCCTAATTCCACATGTCTCCCAAAGGTATACCTCCCAAAATGTCTCCCAAGTGGTGTAGTTTGCGATAGTAATAATAAAAGGTATTTATAAGGCGCAAGTTATTGGTGCTCAAGGCGCTATGTCATTATCTCCCTGCTCATTGGGCCCATGAACTATTCCAAAAACCATTCCGCTCCTTGGGAGTATACAGCTCGATGCTGCCTGTACGTTAGGCACAAGGAAGCTAATTCAGTCACAGTAACCATTTCTGTCCTCACAGGTACCCATTTACTCCTGAGTGGAGACAGGCGATGAGTGACAAAGTGCCTTGCCCAAGGGCACACGCACCATAGCCGCAGGCTGGACTCGAACCCACAACCTGCAGTAATATTACACGCAGACCACGAATTCACTGCTCCAGACCACGAGGTCACGACACTCCACAGCTATTTGATGCCGATTTATGTGTAATTGATTGGAAGTTATCTAGCAAGACCCTTGAATTATTTACAATATATGTTACGG